CAGTAGCCTCTGGTTGGCCAGACCCTTCAACAATGCTATCGTCTTCAAGATCCACACCAACTAAGCTGCTAGCTGTGACCTGAAAATAAAATATTACTGAATATTAAATCAAATAGTGTGTAATAAGGAGCCAAGTAACAAAAAAAATTATATCATAGCTTTATTTTTTAAGTACTTTGAATGCCTCATATAGAACATCAAACCTTTAATAAAACAGGGAGCAAAAATAGAGAACTTTCCTTGCACTAGACATGTATTTGAGATAACTGGAATCCTGTTATTTATCTACAAGTGTTAATGCTGTGATAACCTCCAATGATTTTTGAACTTCAAATGTTTTTTAGTGCAATTTTAACTGTAAATTTATAATTCTATAGAGAAATTTGAATTAAGTTTCGTATCTTTAATGTAGAATAACATTAAACAAAAATATATGATAATGAAAGAACCACTTTATTTCAAATAGACAGGCCCTACATACCAACTATGCATCGTGTTTTGGAACCTGAAAATGTGAGGTGGTCTTTATAATATTGGTCTCAAATTGGATGACGATACCTTGTCTAAAAAGATTGAACATTTGTAAAAGTGATACAGTACAGTATCAAATTAGGCTGGGGTAGGGACCTCGAATTGGAGGGTATTGTCTTAATACTGATGCCTTTATATTCCCAAATAAATTTAATTGAAACTGTTGAGTAGTATTCAAACAAAACCAGCAGGTGCAGGCCCACATACTTCACTCCAATGTAAACCAAACGGAAAAACAAGCATCACTTCTCCAGTCCCATTTCGTGCCGGTGCTCGGGTTGATAGATGGTTATGAATTCCTTCTGAAAGACCGAAATGTTGTAACACTTGATATGCTGCTGCGAGTTCCTCTCGTTGATGTTGATTTTGTCTAATACACTCTGTGACTGTCAAGCTAGGGCTAGGCCTAGTAGTAGTAGTAGTACTAGTAGTATGCGACGTTAGAAGCCTAGCCGCTGTCGACGATGTAGGCCCAGACTTTCTAGGCCTGCCACCATTATTTTTCATATATTTATTTATTGTTGAAATCCTACGTTGGCCTAGGCAGAATAATGCATTTTTA